TCTGTAATAAACTTTCTTTTCCAAAGATGAGTGATTTCTCGATCACTCATCGAGTGCATCGAGTGGTAATTTATTTTTTTATTACTTTGAAACTATTGTTTCAGCAACATTAAATTTAAAAACTGTACTTTTGAGTTAAAATATATATTTATAATTTTAATAAATGCCAAATTAAAAAAGCATGAACATTTTTTTGTATCGAAAAAATATCAAACCAAACCGAAACGTGAATTTTGTGTATCGTTGCACCCCTACAAATTACGTAATAAATTCTAATATTTGCACATTAAAACTGCACTAAAGAAAATCCAGATTATCTGGATTTTGATTTTTCCTTTCAAAGTGTTTTTAATTGTTTATCGCTGTTTCAATATCTGCAGTATGTGTGATGCCATTTAAACAAATGTGGCTGTATAAGTGATTTTGCCTTTTTTTTAAAATAGATTTTCATTTTTTTCCTATTTTTAAATTTTTTATATTGTTGCCTGGAAAATGGGAAATCGGTGAAGTGAATTACTGACAGGTGTGTGCAAACATACATGGAAATACAGCATATAAGGGAAAGCACTTTGTACAATTTTAATGGGCTTGAAAGTAGATGTGGTACTCACCAAATATTGACATTTAATCTTAAACACAACTTGAACATTCTTAGTAATTTCTTTAAGTAGTCTCCAGGAATAGTTTTACAGACTTCTTAAAGGGCATTTAAATCTCTGTTTTCGATGTTGGCTGCCTTTCGTTCCACTCTCTGTTAAGATGATCCCAGACTACTTCAACACTGTTGATGTCCAGGCTCTGGGGAGGCCAGCTCGTGACTCCACTGTGTGTTTTTCTATCCAGGTATGCTTTTACTGCATTGGTAGTGTGTTGGGGATCATTGAAATGAAGCCATTGCCTCAAATGCTTTCTACTTGATAACATTTACATTTACAATAATTGATTACGCAGCAGTGGAGAGTGGACTTTATCAAAGTAGATGTCTTTCTGAAAGCGCTGTAACTAAGTTTAA